CCTCGCCGACACCACCTGCAGGTCGCAGCCGCCTGCCCTTGACCGCTCGGGAGCTCCGATCGTGATGAGAGGAGATGGCTAGCTCCGCGGCCTGGACCCATCGCGAGAAGGCCCCACTGATGGGCAGGACATGCTGTGCACCAGCTTGGAAGGCGAGAGACTGTCGAATAGGTGGCCAAACATCGTGAATAGAGTGTGCAGTCCAAGGGACTTGAGCCAAAGCGGCTACCCACGAGGAGGGGGGAATCGAGAAAGACGGGAGAGGAGCAGGAGAGGCAGCGGCACCAGCACGGGCGAGGTGATCGCTGACCCCCTCCAGGGGGCCGTCGTTCCGAGGACGCCCGGCTGGGGGGGACAAACCATTACCTTCGCTCCGAATTGCTGCTGCCTCCCCAGACGCCGCCGACGAAGCCTGTGTCGCCTCGTGCGCGCCTGGAGGGGGGCTGCTTAGAGATTCCGAGACTCAGGTGCGGGCTGAAAGGAGGACTCATTGGCCCAGGGGTCCTCCTCATCAGCCTCAAAAAGCCCCTCGCAGCCTTCATCCCCGAGAGGTTCGACCTGCGACGAAAAGCCCACGGGGCCGCCAGCCGACGGGTCGAGATCACTAGGGTCTTGAGGCTCGGGGGAAGACGCGCTGCCGAAAATGTCACCGTACAGCAACTCACATTCGCTAATCAGACGCTCTTTCTTTTTCTGAGCTCGCTCGACCTGCTCGAGCTTCTTCGCGCTCGACTTGGGCCCAGCAGTGGGCGCTGCAGACGGCCTGGGCACTTGCGGCAACCTAGGAGCGACAAGCAAAGATCTGCACAGCAACTGTTCGCCATTGCCTCTTCGCCGTCGCTCAAGCCCAATGCGAGGTGCCCATGGCGTGTCAACTACTGGGGTGATACTGCGAATGTATGGAAGACAGCACTCAGACGCCATGACACAATCGATGTGAGAACTACCTGCACTCCCGACGCACGTGTACTCCACATCAGCCCGACGGATCACGCCTCCGACACGGCGACAAAACGCTGACCTCTGAAACTTGGCAACATCAAAGTTAAAATCACCTATGACGAGCCACGGAAGCTTCACAGAAGACAAGAATGCACCCAACTTGGCAAATCTGGCTGGGTTAATACCCGTGAATTCGACTGACGGATGTGCGTAAAACAGTACTACAAGCAGCGAGAAGCCACACAGATGCACGAGAACAGGCATGAAACCGTCGAGGGCGTCTGAGCCCTCAGCACAGTAGCTACTGGTGCCCTCACGCGGCTTGTCAAAAACTCTATGAACTGAAAGATGACCTAGAGCCAACATGATCTCCCCGCCCTCGTAGGCGCGCCCCCCCGCCGCCTTCGAGGTGCCTCGACCCGTTGATCTCGCTGGATTGTCCAGGAACTTGAGCTTGGCGCTCCGAGCTCGACGAGCCTACTTGGCCCTGGTGTGGGCCCCGATGTGCGACTCCACCATGCCGATGTACTCGTACTTGGACAGCGTGGCCTCGGAGCTGACGTAGCTCCAGGTCTTGTTGCCCAGCATGGTGACGTTGCTGAAAAAAAAAAAACACGCACACGGAGGAGTCGACCTCGCTGGTGGACTGCTCCTCCGCGCTCGGCTCGAGCGGCTGGGTGACTGCAGGCGCCGAGAGACCTGCAGCCGCCGCGCCGCCGCATTGCGGCGCCTCCGCCTTGCCCGACTCTGGAGCCACACCTGCAGCCCCCTCGGCGGCCGCCTTGGCGGCTGCAGTGACTGCCCTGATGCGCTCCATCTCGATCTTGATCTCATCCTCGGACGGCGCGCCAGGCTGAGCCCCTTGGGCTGCTGGCTGAGCCGCAGCAGCGGGTGGCTGCCCTTGGCCTCCGCCGCCTCCAGCGCCGCCTGCCGTGCCGCCCGCGACAGCGCCGCTGATGCCTCCGTCGATATTCCTCTTCTTGTCCAGGCGCTCCTTGACCTTCGCCCTGAGGTCGAGCACCTGGGTTTTCCACTTGAGCACCTCGTCAGCTTTGCTGATGACGCTGTCCCTGACCGCCTTCAGCTCTGCCTCGACCTTTTTGAGCTCAGCTCTCTCGCCCTCTGTGCACTCGAGGGTGTCGAGCTGCTTGAAAAACTCCTCGTCCCATGTGACGTTCATCATCGGCGCCTGCTCGACGTCAGCGCCTCCTGCGCCAGCACCAGAGGTGCTGGCCCCGCCTGCGCCGCCCGCGGTGTGCACATCCACGCCCGCCTCGCGGGCCAGGGCCACCGCGGCTGTGCGCTTGCTGATATCAGCAAGGGCCAGAGCGCGCGCCGCCTCCTCCTCCTTCCTCATCGCTGCCACCAGGTTCTCCTGGCAACGAGAGACGGCTGCACTCGCTTGCACATGTTTCTGCTTTGCATCCTTCCACGCGCCCTCTGCTCGCCGAACTGCTTCACTCGGTGGGGCCACGGCCGGCTGCTCCGCCGCCTGGGCCCCGCGCTCAGCGAACTCAATCTGCTCGGCGAGCACCTTGCGGCTGACTGGGTCGGTCACTCTGGCCATCGCAGCGGACAGCGCCTGAATGGTAGAAGTAGTCGCTGCCACTTGAGACCCGACCGACCCTTTAACATTCTGCAAGGACGGCAGAGTGGACGAGGATGCTGGACCTTTCTTCGGCTTATACAGCTTGACTGGACAATGGCACTTGGTGCACTTCCCTGAATTTGCCACGATCCTCTCATTGTACTCGTACGTACCACACTTCGCACATGTACTCCATGCCTTTGCCATGGGCCACGGGCGAAGCCTCGCTTTCGCCTGCGCAACTGGCCGTCCGAAGGGTGGACAGAAAGTGCGCAGCCCCCCAAGCACCACGTGGAGGCGCGAGGTTGGGCGTCGGATGCCAAAATGGCGCTCGAGCCCAAGTTGCTTGAGAGGAGGAGGGGGGGGATGAGGAGCGCGTGGGTCACTTTACAACCAGAAGCGCACTTTACAACCAGATGGGTCACTTTACAACCAGCTTACAAAATCCGAGAAGGGCACTTTACAACCAGGAAGGGCACTTTACAACCAGGCAAGTAAAAACACATATTCAATGCACGCGGGCCTTTCCCTGGAATCTCAGTGGGCAAGCGCAAGGGTGGCTTTGGGCTCTCTGAGGCATGTTGGTTGTAAAGTTGCCCATCGCGCACGAAGAAGCACTGCGCACGCGCGGGCGATGCGGCGACCTGGTGCGCTATGGTATGTTGCGTGCTGGTGGGCGGATTAGGGTTTTGACCTGCCCTCTGAGCTCTGTCGGTCAGTTATGCCATTGCTTGCTCTGCCTTTTTTTTTCTGACGGGCGAAGGCTAGTCGCGCACGGCATACGAATAGACCATGATCCCGTCCAAGACTGGAGCTGCATGGCAGTGGGAAGCTGTAGCGGGAGATGTGGTGGTAGCGGGGGCTACAATGGGAACTGCATGGCGTTGGGAAGCTGCGGTGGCAACTGTGGTGGTCGCCAGGCAGCGGTGGGCACTGTGGTGGTAGCTAGGCTGCAATGGGATGCGCGGTGGTAGCGGGGGGTCAGTCGGAATTGTGGAGGTAGCGGGGCTGCAGCGGTAAGTTTGGTGGTAGCAGGCACAAAGGTGGCGGTGATGCGCTGTCACGGTGGCTCAAGCTGCTGCGCTGGCACGGTGGCTGAGGCTGCTGCCCGAGCAGGATACCTGCGTTGCTGCGCTGGCGCTGTGGCTGACGCTGGAAGGAACGATCTTCGAAATAGTTGCATTTATTCGGAACGTTGAACCTCGATCTTCCAAGAAGAGGAGCAGCAGGGGGCCAACTGGAGCTGGAGCACTGAGCCCCTTGCAGAACACCGTGGGGCTTCAGGGGCCAACGTGGCGCAAGAGACCCGCGGTGCCAATGGCCTAGTTCCCTGGAGCGCTGGGCCCTTGTGGAGGCCACTGGGCTCCCTTCCTGTGAGTGGTCCCTAAAATGGGCAGCGCGTCGCCCTGAGCCTTCCTACGCATGCTGTCGCCTTATTCCCGTGCGAGCACGGGGCCCTTATTGAAGCCGCTTGGCCCCTGCTAGCAAGCCCTGTCTGCTGGGCTCAGAGCGCCAGAGCGTCCAGGCGCTCGGGCTCAGAGGCATCGCTGGGGCCTGCTCAGAGCGTCCAGGCGCTCGGGCTCAGAGGCATCGCCGGGGCCTGCGCAGAGCGTCCAGGTCCTCGGGCTCCGAGGCATCGCTGGGGCCTGCGCAGAGCGCCCAGGTCCTCGGGCTCAGAGGCATCGCTGGGGCCTGCGCAGGGCGTCCAGGCGCTCGGGCTCAGAGGCATCGCTGGGGCCTGCGCAAAGAGTTCAGGCGCTCGGGCTCCAGAGCGCCCACGTGCTCTGGAGCACTTTTCAGAGCGTCCGCGCGCCCTGGGGCACTTTTGAGAGCGCCCACTTGCTCTGGGGCATGTTTCAGAGCGCCCACTTGCTCTGGGGCATTTTTCAGAGCGCCCACTTGCTCTGGGGCACTTTGCGGAACGCCCAAACACGCACGGCCACTCTGAGCTGGTTGTAAAATGGTCCGTTCTGGTTGTAAAGTGGCCCGTTCTGGTTGTAAAGTGGTCCGTTCTGGTTGTAAAGTGGGCCGTTCTGGTTGCAAAGTGGACGTTCTCGATGAAAAGCCATACTTTCCAATCCTATGTTGGTTGTAAAGTAACCCATCTGGTTGTAAAGTGGTCGTTCTGGTTGTAAAGAGACCGAATCTCAGGATGAGGAGGAGGGGGAGGAGGAGGAGGAGCAGGAGCAGGAGGAGGAGGAGGAGGAGGACCCCAGCCAAACGCTCGGTTTTGCACTCCGACTCCTGCTCAGTCAGAGCCCCGTGATCACTTTGGCCGCAGGGGGGGGGCGGCCGCCAGGACGAAGGAGGGAGGACGGGGAACGAGGAGGACGCAGGAAGAGGGATGAGGGAGGAAGAGAAGGGAGGAAGAGAAGGGATAAGGGAGGAAGAGAAGGGATAAGGGATAAGAGGGATAAGGGACGCAGGAAGGGGGATGAGGAAGGAAGTGAAGGGAGGGGGCACAACGAACAGTAAGAGGAAGGTGATGGGAGGGGGCCTGCTCTCGTGCGAAAATACAAATGTAACAAAAACGTCCGCAAGAGCAGCCGCTTCCAGCGGCGGACAACACATCTGTGCACTACTCCTAACTGCATGCACGCGCCTGGCATTAGAGCGTCACCTGCATGGGCGGGTTCGGCCGTGCCCCCCTTGCCACGGGAAATTCACCTCTCAGCAGCTTGCGGATCTCAGAAAATTGCCTGTGTTGGCATGGTACCGCGAGCTTCGGGAAATCTTCGTATGAGGCTCCTCTTTCCCCTCCTCCTCTCCCACCCACCCATGGTAATTACAGGGGGACATAGCTGAAGGGGTCCTGGGACACACACACATAAATAGACACAAATCCCAGGATTCCCCATAGTTTCTAATAATTTCTGGATGTTCGTCTTTCCCCTGCCTCCCATATGTCCCAATCTTTTCCCGGGGATCGACGGTTCATTGTGTCTGTGTGTTTGATTCCCTTCTGAATCGCTACCCCGCCCCCGGGGGGGTACCGGTCGCCTTCCCATTTTTGTCTTGACAGATATCTAGTTTGACCACATCCCCCCAGTTGAGGGATGAAAAAACGACCCTACCCTGGGTTACAAGTGCGTGGTCTGTAAACCTCCTGGGAACCCCCAAAGCCTAGAGCCGCCAGGACGCTGCACATCACGCAGAAATTACCCTGTCAACCCACAGGGGGAGAAAGACACAGATGATGGGGATGAGAAAGTAGGGGGATGGGGAGAATCGAGAATGCCGAAGAAGAAATTGCCATGATGACTAGGACGTTGCGAACAACTGCCGATGCGGAATGTGAAAAAGGAGGAGGAGGAGGAGGAGGAGTGGAAAACGGAGGTAACGAACGAACGAAACCTCTCGTACGTGGGTAAATTAACCACACTGGAGTGCACCAGGATCGGCCAGTGCAACCGAGGAGGATGCGGAGAAGGAGGAGGACCAATGCAAACACAAGACTCATCAACGAGATTGGAATAAAACTTACCTCCAATCTCCCTTTTCATCGGCCCCTACAAAGGTTCACTTCCACTGAAGGAACTGCCTCGTTGGGAGACAACCGTTCGAAGACCCTGAAGCGTATCAAAACCATTCTCGGGACACCGACGCCACGGATCAGCATGACTGTTGCGTCTTGACCATCCGGAATCGTTCCAGAACTCCATTCCTGGGCTTTCAATGCCGCGAATCAGCGTAACTGTTGCGCGATCAATAGCCTGAGTCCTTCCAAAACACGATGCCCATTGGCCATGGGAACGCGTGAAACTCTTGCAATGTTATAACAAAACGAGTATGCGCGGGGCTTAGGCGAGAACCGCATGTTGACACATAACCGTCCTCAATCAGTGAAGCTTTGCAACTTTGCAAAACGAAGGTGCGCGGCGCCGAGGCGAGAACCGCATTTTGAAACGACCTGCCCTCAATCAGAGAAGCTCTTGCAATTTTGGAAAAAGAATGTGCGCGGCGCTAAAGCGAGAACCGAATGTGAAAACGACCCGCCGTCAATCCGCTAAAGTCGCGCAACTTTGTCGAACTAGTCTGCGCGGCGCCAGGGTGAGAGCTACGATTTGAAAACGACCCGCCCTCAATCCGTGAATCTCTTGAATTGCCTAAAGCGAATGCGCGCGCCGTTAAGGCGAGAGCCACACATTGAACACGACCCGCCCTCAATCCGCAAAGCTCTTGTATTTATGCAGCGACTGTGCGCGGCGCTAACGCGAGAGCCACACTCTGAGAACCACCCGCCCTCCGTCCGTGAAGCTGTTGCCCGTTCTTTCAGCCCTAGGGCTATCAAAGGTGAGGTCTCGGGGAAAACGTCTGGCCCGCCCTGCCGACTGGCCTCGGGTTGCAACGAGGAGTAGATATTCACCAGGAGAAGGAATGGAGGAGGACGAGGAGGAGGAGGAGGAAACCGAGGAGGAAGAAACCGAGGAGGAGGAGGAGGAGGAGGAGGAGGAGGAGGAGGAGGAGGAGGAGGAGGGGTAGGAGGAGGAGGAAAAGGAGGAGGAGGAGCAGGAGGAGGAGGAGGAGGAGAAGGAGAAGGCACACAAAAAGGAACATGAACAACAACAGAAGGACCGAACGATGCGAAGTACCGAACAGAAGAGGAGAGGTGGCCTGCGATCGGCCAAGCAGCATCGCGAAATCTGCTTCCCAGAGGCAACAGGTCAGCTCAGGAAGCAAGGAACAATGCGGAAAACGGCCACGTTCGATGAGCAGGTGGAGTCGAACGGCCTCAGCCTCGCCTCCAATTCGCCGCATGGCAAAGCCAGTGCGCCACTGATTTTAACAAGGCGCCCGGCGGGAGGCAGCTGGAGCCTCTTCAGGCCCTCCAGCCGAAGCCCTACATGCCGTCACGCAGGTCCCGGGCAGGCTTTGCTTCACGGCGGAAGGGGACGAGGAGGGGAGAATCAGGCAGACGACGACGAACGCCCAGGCGGGGGGCCAGGGCCGGCGGGGCGGGCGGGCGGGCAGAAGAGGACCCGGCGGACACAGCAGGCCAGGAACAGGAGGAAAGGACAGGGAGGGAAGCAACGAGCAGAAGGGGAGTGAGGAGGAGGACAAGGAACAAGGAGGAAGGGGGGGAAACAAGCGCAAGCAGACAGGCCAGGCCATAGGCCTGGAGAGAAGAGCAACCCGCGACGAGGCTACGGAACTTGGCCAAGCTGCAGTGGCCCTTGCCGCACCCTTCCAAACGCTGGCGGCGCACAGCGAGGGATAGGGCGTGGCGAGCGGCCTCTCAAGACGACGCCATCGCTGCCGCCGCCACCGCCGCCGCCGTCGCTGTCGCCGTCGCCGTCGATGCCGCCGCCTTCGCTGTCACCGCCGTCGACATCGCTGTCGCTGCCGTCGCCACCGCCGTCGCCGTCGCCGTTGTCGGCGTCGCCACCGTCGTCGTCGCCTCCTGCCTATTCGGGAATCCGCACGCCTCGCCCCGCACCCACCGCCGCTGGCCCCCGACCCATGGGCTCCGCCGCGCGGGCATTGGCTCCAACAGTTGGCATCGCACCCCGCGGCTTGATCATGATATGGGGGCCGAGCAGGAGGGTTGCGAAGGAGCGGGGTCGAGGAAGGGGATGACAAATACAGTGCGGGCGAGGCCGCAAGAAACCCTCGCAAGAAAGCAAACCCTGAAAACCCGCGCTCGAGGTGCACCTGAGCGAAGAAACCCAGGGTACCCTGACGAAAGGCAAATGGTTTCCTGGTGCGCGCCCCCACTGTATCTGGAAGAACTGGATGCGGAGGAGTCGGGTGCGGAGGAATTAGATGTGGAAGAAGAGGAGGAGAAAGAGGAGGCGGAAAAGGAAGAGGAGGATGAGGAGGAAGAGGAGGAGGAGCGGAAGGAGGAGGAGGAGGAGCAGGACGAAGAGGAGGAAATGGAGGAGGAGGAGGAGTAAATGGGTAAAGTTTTCAGCGGCTGGGTCGTCGCCGTGGAGTGCCTAGTCCGACGCGGTGGGGGCCTGGGTGTCCAGCTTATCGTCGTCGCTGTGGCGGCGGGGAAGCGGCGGCGCGCGGTCGCGCGTGAGCGCGCTGCGCGCCGCCCTCTCTCCCACCGACGCCGGCGACGACGAGGCACCCCCCGCCGTTCTAACCTCCCTGGCGCCTCCACGGGCGCACCTTCACTGGGGCCTCATCCATCTCCCTCAGGTAAGGGTCCTGGAGCCTTCACGTGAGCCTCTCCAAGGGCTCGCGCAGAGCTGCCCAGAGAAACCACCCCCTCTCACTGATCATGGGGCCCAAGGGTCCTCGGTAACACTCCCTCTCACTCATCAGGGGGGCCCAAGGGCCCTGGGTTCAGAACGAGAGCTGGCCCCTGCAAGCGCCCGGGCCGCAGTCTCTTGGGCCGCATCCAGGTGTTCAGCATCGCAGATGGCCTTGACCCCTGTGGGGAGGAGGCAAGCCTTTGGACACACGCGGGGGGACCTCCTTACCCCTGGGCGTGGGCTCACGTGGGCACGGCTCGAACAATTCGCATGCTGGAGCGCGGCGTGCGACCCGCACGCCGACCAGAACAGTGTCCTTCATCTGGTGATCTCATGGATGCGGTGGCACGGATAGGCCAGCTGGCCGCGCAGCTCCTCCCGCCCCCGCCACCCCCGCGCCGCCCCGCCACCGCCGCTGCCCGCCTCCGCGACCGCCGCCTCTCCCCAGCGGCGGCGCGCGCCCTCGCCGTCGTCGGGGCGCGGGGCGGGCGATGGGCCTGGGCGTTGCAGCTGTGCCTCTTGCTCGAGGCGGCAGTCGTCCGCCAGGGCAGCACGCGGCAGCACATATGAAACGTCGCGACTTGTCTTTACACTCTTCAGCCTGGCAAGAGTGGGCCTGGAGGAGGAGGGGGCGGGGCGGCTGAGGAGGCTGACGGACCGCCCCAACGCTCTCGCCACGCAAAACACCGCCAGGGCCAGTTCAACGGATGATGGCTCGCGCACGACTGCGCGCCAAGGTGGCGATCGCGTCCCAAGTGCTCAGTCAGGGGGCGGGTTCGACGGTGTCGCTCCAATTCTTGGCTGCTCGACGAACGCCCCGTGAGTCGGCGACAACATTGCTGCATGCAAGAAGCGGATGCGCATTCAACTCGGGCGAATCATCCTGGTGCGAACGGGCCCAGACCAAGGCCGCGTCGCGTCTCGGCTCTTGCTCCGAGACCCCGCATCCAAAGATCGGCGTTCTTGCTGCGTCTAGGCCACGCTCCGGGGGGCGACGTCCGACCCTAACCGTGTTCTCATCCGTTTAGGAGGTACTTATGGTCGGTCATGAAAGTCAGGGCCACCGAGCTCTCCCCCACGGCAACGCAGGCAGCCATTCTCTCGGAGCGAGCCGCTGCCTGCCGCCCGCGCTCCAATGGGCCAAGCATCCTTGAATGTCCAAGCCGCGAGCCTCGGCCGTGCGGGAGGGGCGCCGCGTGCCGCCCACGCCTGCGCCCTCTGGGGCCATTGGAGAGGGCTCCTCCAGAGCCGCCCCCGAACAAAAAGAGGCGACCATCGGTGGGCCCCCTGCGGGCGCCCCAAGAGGGCCATCCGCGGTTGTCAGGCCCCGCCGCCTCCGCCCCCCCGCCCCCGCCCCGCCGCCCACCTGGGGGGCGCGGTGCAAGAACGGCCGGGCGCGCCGCGAAACCGCGGAGAGGGGGTCTGTTCGAGCCTCGCGAAACCCCGGGAAGTAAATTGGCGCTCTCCTCAACCTTAGGGCCACCCAGTGATAGGGCGCATCCACGTCGTCCGCTGGCATTTTTTTGGGGGGTGGGCATCAATGATCCCGGACTTGCGGCGGTCGCCGACGGGAATGTCCTGGTCGCTGCGCCAGTGTAGACGCTCTCTAGGCCACTGGTCACCTGCGACGATGCAAGTCAAGGCCCGCGGCGCTATGTGTCATCGCGCATGGGGTCGCGGCTGTTCGCGTCGGGCCGCGACGAGGCGCCGTCCGCATGGGAAGCAGCGGCTGCCCAGGGGCGCCTCTGCGCGTCGTCGCCGACGTGGGCCAGGAAGGGCATCCGCGCGCATATGGGTATGCGCGAGGATGGGGGCGCGCTCAATCTCGCCAGCGTCGCCCCCACCGGAGACCCCGCAACTACTTCCTGCGTAGCCATAATGGCTTCGCCAAAACCATCCTCTCGAACCTAAGATGCGTGGCCCGAGGGGGGGCTCGACCTCCCTGGGCAGGCATATCGCGGGGAACTCCTCATCAAGTCCAACTTGACTTGGACGTTCCAGCTGAGTATGGTGGTGAAAGCTTGCCAAGCCCGCCAGCGAAGTGCCCACCGTGAGCCTCGTTGCATGGGGCAAGTCGTTGACGAACGAGGACACGGTGGAGAGCAGCAGACGCAGCCGCCCGTGGCAGCCGCTGTCGCGAGCGCCCGTGAGGGCCAGCGTCCTTCTCCGTCGATCGCGTTGAGCGCGTCAGCGTATGTCTTCACCGTCTGGTACGGGAATCGTCGTAGATCGCGCGGGCCCAACGCGCCAGCGCCCTTGGCCTCGTTCAGTGGCATGGCCCGAAGGACCCGCGTGAGCTTCTCCACTTCGATCTGGTCGCGCTCGGCGCGCTCCAAGGCGCGAGTCCTGCAGCTGCTTGCGCGGCTTCGACGTCTCCGTCCATTCCTGAGGTCGCTCGCCGTGATTGCCGCTGGGTCCAGTGTCGTTTCTCCTGATGCTGACGCCGCCAGGCGTGGGGTCTCCCGTGGCTGGGCCTGCCTGTGCGCCTGGCTTGGCCTTCTTGGCCTTCCATATGTCAGCGGGCCAGCCTGTGTGCTTTTGCTTTGACTGGTGCGATGCCCGTGCAGCTGCTGCACCTGACGAAACCAACTCCGCCCGACGAAAGGCATCCTCCTCCTTGGACTTGGGGAATAGGACATCCCGCCCCCTTTCCAAGCCAATAACCCGTAACGTCGACAAGTTGGTCGTCTGGTCCATAATGTAAGCGCGCTTGTCGTGCTTGCGCGGCGCCGGCGACTTTTTCGCCGAAGTAGATGCGATGGCCCATCGCCCAGCAGGAGCCCGCGCAGCCAGGTTTAGTCGCAGTTTTTCGCCGAGTGACATGGGCAGAACCCGCTGTGCCAAGATGCGCCCGCCGCCCCCGCGACGTCGCGCCGCCGCGGGTTCCCGTCGCGAGACCCGTTTGGCAGTGCACCCCCAGCCTTGGGGTCAGCCTGATGCAGGTTGCGCGGTGGTAGCTGCCGCCCCTGACCAGCCCGATCCAGGCTCGCTCTCTCCAGCGCCCCCGCCTGTGCGAATGCGCCTCGGCCCGCCGCGCGTCCGCGCGGCTGGCCTCGCTCTGGCGCGCCCGTCGCTGGAGGTAGTCTCCAACTTCGAAGGCGAGAACGCACTCCGCGCGGGTTCGCGGGGAAGGCGCCCAACCCGGTCGGTCGCGGCCCCGCCGCGCAAACAGCCAGATCAGAAAGACCGCGCGCAGACGCGGCCCCCTCCCACTCCGACCGACCCGCCCGAGTGCAGGAACTCCAGCCCGATCTGCGCCGCGTCCGCAAGTGCGGTCGCCGCCCTGGCGCGAGCGCAGCCGGGGCTGCTCCGCTCCGACAAGGGAGCCTCTTCCGAGACGGGCCTCACGCCGAGTTGGAAGCCGCCGAGGTTTACGCCGCAACCGTCGCAGGCGGGGTCGGACTCCGCGACGACGCGGGTTTGCGGGGGCGGCCCCGACCCCCGCCCGTCGCGGCCTTCGCTGCGCGAACAACCATATCAGACAAGACTGCGCGCATCTGTGACTCAATCCATTCGGCCGACCCGCCCTGGCGAGGGGGCGCCGGCCCGCTCGGCGCCGTCTTCGCGGGCGGGGTCGCCGCGCTAGCGCGAGCGTGGCTGGGGCTGCCGTGCTCGGACAAAGCAGCCCTCGCACAGCGGCGCCTCCAGCTGATGCCGCCGTCGACGGAGGTGGCGCAGACGTCCATGATGGCTCGGGTTTGCAGGCAAGGCCTCCGCCCCGTCTGCCTCTGCCTCCGCCGCGCGAGCAGACGTGGGACACATCGAAGATGTGGCGTTTGCTCGCCCTGCCTCCCGATCCCAGCGAGCGCCCTGCAACTCCTCGGGGATGCCGCGAAGGGCGCCCGCGCCGAGGTCGTCAGCTCGGGCATTGGCATGGGCGTCGTCCCGAACCGGCTGGGAGGTATTAGGGGAAGCCTCGTACAACTCATCAGGGAAAGCGCGCATCCGTTTGTCCAGCGTTGCCTGCGCCCTGCGAGAAGTCGCGTTGCCGGGGCCAGCCTCGACTGTCAGCGTCGCCGGGCATGACAGCTCGCGAGGAAAACACATGCACTGCACCGCGAGGGGGATGCTGAGCCCGAAGTCTGCTGCGACCTCAAGTCCACGGCGTGTGCCCCAGGATGCATCGTGC